AACTTTTCACAAAAGCTGGCTACATCTAATAAATACATATTTTTTCTGTTCACTGTCTCTTTTCCTTTTTATTAAGCTTTAACCTTTCATACAGATATGCATAAGAGTGAAGTCATTATTGGATGTGCGGTTGCAGTTGATATCTGACAGATTTTCTGAAGAGACCAAGAATGAAAAATACACCTGGCTGTGAATCAGCATGGCACACTAACAGCTTGAACAAAATACTTTGCCAGATGAAATAGTTTCCAAGAATTTGTATATATTGTTTGTCTCCTTTTCTTACAGCAGTCTGGAAGGAACTGTTTGTCTCATTCAAAATGTTCTTCCACTTTTAACCTTGTTAGCCTTCTATTTTTACTGCTAGTTTAATTGTCTACAGCTATATAATGTTTATAGCTAGATAAAGATTATACCCCTGCCAATCTAAGTTCCATTCTTTCTTAAACACCTAGTAATAAAAGCCAGATAAAGAATGCCCAGTGCCCTTGGCTGAGTGCCAGATTGGGGCTCCCTCCTAGAGCCCTGGAGTCTGTTTATGTGAGTGTTTTGTGTGGAGAAGACTGAGTGTTGTATGTGTTGAAGAGGCTCATGGTTGTGTGTGGGGACCAGCCTGAATGTGTCGGTGTGTGTTGGTTGAATGTTGTGTGTAGTGGGTAAACATTTTTTGTGTGTGTGTTAGAGAATTCAGAGTGCAGCAGAGAGTTGTGTGTTGTATCTGAGTGTGTGCATGTGGACGTTTTTTAATTATTTCCCCAACTTATTTTTAGGCAAGGTTTTATCCCTAGTGGTTCAATGGAAGAACAATGTGGAGTTTAATTGCCGGCGGTCCAGTGGGGGAACATTGTGGTCTGCACCAATATTGGGTACAAATAACTTTAAGAGCCCCCTCTCAGTTTTGGTGCTCAGTCAATGACTCAGATCGCTGGCTGCAGTGCTCTAAGTCATTAAAAAGTGGCAGGGGACTGCAAGGGAACTTCAAGTGATCTGCCCCTGATGGATGAAATGAGCGGGCACATAGTCAAGCAGTGAGCTTTTGATTTTTCTGCCAGGTCACAAAGGACCCACTCTGTCACATCATGCCATGTTCTGCGGAGATGTCTGGCTTTGGTTTCTGGTATCCAGTACTCTTTTTACAATTCTTGTTTAGTTTTTCTTGTTTTTTTGGTTTTCTATTCTGTCTGGTTTTCTTCATGCTGGGTTTTTCTGGGTTTATTCCTGTAATCCGTCCCTGGAATTCCCAGTGTCCAGGTTTCCTTTAAATGTTTGTTTTATGTTGCCACATCTGTTTGTTTTCCATTTTCCTTTTGTTTCAGTCTGGACCTGCAGCAGTGTTTCAAGTCTCTGCCCTTTTTTGCAGGTAAGTGCTATTGTGGTTTAGTATGGTTCTTTTAGCGAACATTAGGCAGTGTAGGACCTGCCGAATATGGGGTACATTGGCGTTGTGGAAGGCTTATGCAATGTATGATCATATAATGTAACTAAATACCCATACTTGTCACATATAGTGCTTAGTTATGTCTCCTCTTGTTTTGCCTATCATATCTTGTTTTGTTTTAGTTTGTATTCCCAGTCCATGTACAGTCCTGTCCTGCCCCTGTTTAGTTAATGTTCCCTTATGTATTGTGTACATGTTCTGGGTTTAGCTTCCTATTGTTACGGGCAAATGCAAATATTACAAGTTTTAGAATGAAATGTTGTATTTCTTAAACTGTGTACTTTGTCTTTAAGAGATATTGCAAACTGACAAGGTGTTAGAAATGGAACATATTGTTTTTCATAACTGTTTCTTTAAGCAATAACCTCAGTGCATAATATGTTTGCACCATTTTGTCCCAGACGAATTACAATAACAATAATGCATAAACAAGCTTCAAGGCTATACTACGACACTTGCAGTACACAATATACGTGGTAACCCCAAGTTAATGGAACTTCCCCAAATCCGGGAATCTCCCACGACTGTACACTTACGACTTAGTATAAACAACAGATAACCTATTCAGACTTTAAGATGCCATCTTGAACTAAGTCAGGAAAATTTCCATGACGTATACACCCTTTAGTTATGGCCTTGTATGTTTGCCAAATTAAGGGAGGTCCTAAATTGAATAAAGTAAAAGAAGTGTTACTTTTTCATATTTGAACTGCAGTAACCTAAAATGGAGACATCTAAGGTATAAATAGGTGTACTTTTAAATGTTAAGACACAGAGGAGAGACTTGGAGACAGACGCTGCTCCATCTTAAAATGACAGAGAGGCTGACATGATGACATGTTCAGAAGGGTATGTTAACCTATTAATGATATTTGCAAGCATGTAATTTAATCTTATAAACTCTGCTATAATGGATTTTATATTTTTATATAATAAATATCCAAAAGACAATCTTGCTTCCAAGACAATCCTTATTTTATATTGTATTCTCAATTATTTACATATGTTAAATAGAGGAATCATATACAAGGGTGTTTATCTTTAAAACAAAACACTAGAAAGATTAACTATGTTACTATTTCATCTATCATTATTATACAAAGTATAACAAAAGAAGAGATTTTTCCACAGATTTGACCTGTGAACATTTTTAGCACAACAGCACCTGATGTCATGTGAGATGTCTATCACTGAGATGTTACAAAGATTCCAATACAGCAAAAAGAGGCGTTCTTGAGAATCCACTTCAATTGCTGTATCAACATAACATTTACTGTAATGGGATCCATGTCACTTAAGACAATGTCTTGGAAATGCTGTCAATTAATTTATTCCGTAAAAGAATATCGGAGAGTATCCAATCTATACACATCATAAATGGTGTGAAAAAATGTTTCATGAAAAAAACAAAATAAAAAAAAGACAGAGACAAGTACCAACGCCATCACCACAGTGATAACAGATGATGCTGATCAATATCCGCAACCAATTCTAGCCAAATATTTGGAAAGCTGGACTCTACAACCTATACTCTATAACAAATACCCGGGTATTCTACAAACACAACCTCCAGCAATGTATCTAAGGAATGTAAACTTCTACAGGCCTTTAAGACTTTGGATTACAAATACAATTACTATTTTTAACTTTGGATTACAATTCGTATCCGGATCTATCCAAGAATATCTTACTCTGGAACTTGGTGTTCTTTTCAATTCTTTCCCAGACAAAAGCTTTGCTTATTTTATTTAACCACCTTTACAGGCAAAGATCACACTACGGAAATTTTAATGTTACAACAATGATCTAAGATGCTGGGAGCATAAAAAACCTAAAGACAGTTGGAGAACTTTGGTTTACTAATTTAAGGAAGAAATGCGCTACAATGCCCACAGTTTAATGGAGAGGGTGTTACGGGCAAATGCAAATATTACAAGTTTTAGAATGAAATGTTGTATTTCTTAAACTGTGTACTTTGTCTTTAAGAGATATTGCAAACTGACAAGGTGTTAGAAATGGAACATATTGTTTTTCATAACTGTTTCTTTAAGCAATAACCTCAGTGCATAATATGTTTGCACCATTTTGTCCCAGACGAATTACAATAACAATAATGCATAAACAAGCTTCAAGGCTATGCTACGACTCTTGCAGTACACAATATACTGTGGTAACCCCAAGTTAATGGAACTTCCCCAAATCCGGGAATCTCCCGCGACTGTACACTTACGACTTGGTATAAACAACAGATAGTAGATATTGGTGCGGTGTAAGTGACAAGGACCTACACCTATAAGTGGAGCGCTCAAACACAGATAAATCTTACCAAAACGTAGTCTCATTCAATGGTAAAATATGGGGTACATGTCAACATAAAATACAGAAAATACAATATAGTGTAGACGGTACTAAAAAATGGCTTCACAGTGATTATAATAATATTGTGTTGAATATTACACTCACATTTCAAGGAGCCTGTATATAGAAAACACTGGCTCCGTATAAAGGCTTGTGTGCTGTTATGGTAGCACCACCCTCCTACTTCGGCTTGAAGAATTTCTCAGGAACACGAAAAAAAGAGAAGAAAGCAAACCAATGTGTAGACTTATGGTGATAGATGGCACAGATATGTGTTCAATAAATGGGGTGCTCACCTGGTCCTGAGCCTACGAATCCCGGCTCTAGGTATGTGGATTTTGTGCCAGTTTGAATGGGGATGGCACTACCCCTGTGAGGATTCCTTGGAGGCTCCAAAAGGAACTTGGATGAGGTATTGAATAAAAATGGTGAATTTATTAGTTTAAAATAAACATAAAAACAAAGATGATAAAAGTCCTCAAATAAAAGTCCTTTAAAAATGGCCAATACGCGTTTCACTCTCAAATAGAGCTTCTTCAGTCAGCTGTAATGTTGGTCCTCTGAATCCTCCATTTTAAATGTCATCTGGGTCTTCCCCTTTAATGAGTTAAGTTCATTCTGTCCAATCAGATTCAATTTCACATAATGTGTGTGTATGTGTGTACCTTTAATAGGTTAATGATGTTGACGCCTTTATTTGTCTATTTTTTCATTGGTAGGCAGCATTGGTTGGCGGAAGTGCTTGTTTTCAACTGGGTGGTTGGCGGAAGTGACGTCATCTAATCATGTGATCGCCATCCAGCCAAAATAAAAAAAAAAAAAAAACAACCAATGGGCAGCATTGGTTGGCGGAAGTACTTGTTTTCAACCAGGTGGTTGGCGGAAGTGACATCATCTAATCATGTGATCGCCATCCAGCCAAGAAAAAAAAAAAAAAAGGCAAAAAGGGCTGCAGAATTGAAATGACAGTAAAATTGCATAATGTCAGATATTACATTCCCAGTGATAAAATATAATTTGTGGTGCATATAGACTAATATATTTACATTGTTAAAGGTGCATACAGTGCCGATGGTACATATATTTTTATACATTAAAAAGGTGATATTACATACATATGTGCTGGAATAGATATCCTTATTGGGTATTTTCCCAAAAGGTGGTTAAATCAATCTTCTTTAAGTGGTATTCACAATGTTTATAAGTTTGGGCATAAATAATATGCCACTGATTGAAAATGAATAAGAAAAATGTATAAAAGAAAAACAAGGGTACAAAAAGAGTAGAGTGGATTACAATGGATAAATTCCATTGAACCCCAAAAAAAGGGAGATACCCATTTAAATGAAATGGCAGAGTTCGAAGTCTATATTCAAACCCCGGGGCTTTAAGGTCCCGAGGTTGAATATCCACCTCATCTCACTCTGTCCCAGTAATTTATTAAGGTCGCCTCCCCGCCAATTCCCCTTAACCTTTTGTATACCCATAAAGAGTAATTGAGTGGGATCACTATTGTGGGCTAGGGTGAAGTGGTGTGATACACTGTGTCCTTCAAATTTTTTCTTTATATTTCTAGTGTGTTCCTCAATCCTAGTGTGCAAATTCCGTTTGGTGCGTCCCACATATTTTAAACCGCAAGGACATTCCAATAAATATATTACGTTGTTTGAGTAACAAGTTATAAGTTCTTTAATAGGGAATTCCTCATCGTTATTGCAGTTCTTAAAAGTCTTAATATGTCTCTTTTTATTGTTGGTGTTCCTACACGCAAGACAAGTACCACATCCGTAAAAACCCTTTCCTTTATTTAGGAAGGTAGTAGTTTTAGTTTTTTTAATGTGGTTCTTTACCAAAAGTCGGTTTAAATTAGCTGCACCCCTAAATATTATCTTGGGTTTTGGTGGTAGAATCTGGGATAGGGCATGGTCCTGAAGTAAAATAGGCCAATGTTTATTTAGGATTTTCCTTAATGCCTTATTGTTATGGCTGTAATTACATACAATAGGTAAATTGACCTCACATTCATTTTGCGTTTTGTTTTTTTCTTGTAATAAAGTGCTCTGTGAAATTTTTAAAACTTGTGTATAAGTGTCGTTGAGGATCTCCTTTTTATAGCCCTTATCTAACAAGTCGGTAATTAATTTGTCTGCTTGTTCCTTGAAGGTGTCATTGTCCGTGCAATTTCTTTTTATACGTATAAGTTGTGATTTAGGTACACTATTTAGCCAAGGGGAAAAGTGACAGCTTGAGGTGTGGATAAAGCTGTTCACATCTACATCTTTAAAGTGTGTCTTGGTCTTGATCTTTTCATCATCAATAAAAATATCCAAATCTAAAAATGTAACCGTGTGTTTACTAAAATTTGTTGATAAAATAATGCCCCATTCATTATTATTTAATTGATTTAAAAAACTTTGTAGCGTATCTTCTGTGCCCTTCCAAATAAAAACAGGTCATCTATGTAACGGCGATAGGTCACCAGGCCCCCTACCCAGCCCTCATTAAGTTGTAAGTGTTGGCGCTCCCAGTCTGCCATGAACAGGTTGGCGTAGCTGGGTGCGAACCTGGTGCCCATCGCCGTCCCACATGCCTGTAAGTAAAAAGTGTCATCGTACCAAAAATAATTACTGGTTAAAATTAATTGTATCCCTTCAATGATAAAATCAATTTGATCTGACTCAAATTTCTGAGATTGTTCTAAAAAGAATTGTACTGCTGCACAGCCCTTTTGGTGTGTGATAATGGTGTATAGAGAGCTGACATCAGCAGTTACTAGGTAATAGTCATGTTCCCATTTGATGGTCTGTAAATGTCTCAGAATGCTCCCTGTGTCTTTAAGGTAACTAGGGATGCCTTGCACTATAGGCTGGAGGCATCTGTCCACATACTCCGAAAATCTACATGATATGGAGTTGATGCCTGAGACGATAGGTCTTCCAGGTGGAACTATGGGGTTTTTATGCACCTTGGGGAGGTAGTAGAACACCGGGATCTTAGGGTGTGTTACGTTTAGATACTCAAATTCTTTTTTATTTAAAATCTCCTTTTGTAAACCCTTGGTTATGAGATCGTAAAATTTATTTTTAATTTCAATAGTTGGATCTCCTTTTAGTTGTGTGTAGGTTGTGTGGTCGTTAAGTAGCCTCATACATTCTGTGTGATAGTCTTTGACATTTAAAATGACTATTCCCCCCCCCTTATCCGCGGGTTTAATGATGATGTCATTATCTTTCTGTAGTTTTTTTAAAACTTTGTACTCATCTTTTTGAAGGTTTTGTTGGTAACGATTCGCTTTTTTTAATTTATTGATGTCTGACATCACCATTTTCTCATAGGTGGTCATTTCTCCTGAGATTAAGTGTTTTGGAAAAAACGTGGACTTTTCTTTTAATGTCGTGTGTGTATACTTTTCTGTATTAATCAGGCTATTGGTTATGGGATTTTTTTGGAAAAATTTTTTTTCAAACATAAGGTGCGTTTAAATTTATTTAGATCTACATACGTCTCAAATTTGTTAAGATTTCTAGTGGGTGCAAATTTTAGACCCTTCTGTAGTAATTTAATTTGTGTACGGTTCAATGTAGTGCAGGTGAGGTTAAAGATACCTGCTTCTTTTTCCATCTCCTTTTGATTTTTTATGGGTTGCGTTTGTCCCTCTTTCCTCCTCTGTGTGTCCACGCCTCCTCTATTTCCCCTTCTTCCGTGCTCCTTTGTCTTTTGTTTGGTGATTTTTGGCGTGAGAGGAATTTGTGTTTGTCTTTGTTCCTCAGACTCCAAAAATCCTCTTCCCTTGTGATTTTTTCAAGAGGTTCAAATCTATTGTTGGTGGAAATATTGGATATTCTCCTAGGATTGTGTCTGAATTTGCTTTGTGCTGTTAAGAATTCATCTGATTTTGCTCTTTTTTCCATCTGGATAGGAGTTCTCATGTTGGGTGTGTGGGTTCTCCCATGGGGACTTGTGGAAGGTTTAGGTTCTATTCTCTCTCTAGGTCTCTTATTGTGATGGTCCCTAAATGGGTTTGCCCTTGGTTGATAATTTGTGCGTGTGTGATGTGGATTGTAAGAATTGTGTCTGTATTGATCATATGTATTATGATTTTCTGGTTTTCGATTTTTCCCAAATGTCCTAACTTCATTGCGTCTGTAGTCATTCTTATCACGTGTATATTTACTCTTTTTGATTTGTATATTTACTCTTTTTGATTTGTATAAGTAGTAATTTCCTCCTAGTTACTATTTTTTGCATCATAACAAAGGAGAAGGAATCAAGCATAGTGGCCCAGCATTGGTGCCATAAATGCTTTATCTTCCTGATCAAATGAAGGGAATTTAAAAAAACAGTCCCCTTGGTGTTACATTAAAAATTTATTACAATTTTGGAATGGTTCCTTAATTTTCCCAAATCGTTAGTTCTAATCAATTGAAGTTGGGCCTAAATCCTGCCACAGAAAAAATTAAAATACAGATTTTTATGGATTCATAACTAAGATACCCACAAGAGGAGGTTTAATCTATATTCAAAAGTTTCATATTGAAATGGC